TTTATTTCTGCAATTCCTTTCTACAAAGGCTTCAGTGCAGTACTTTTTAAGTTATTATTTGCAGTTTTGAAGTAGGAGAGATCCTGTTTTTCTATTTAGTTTATCACATAATAGTAGGTTTTATTTTAGTAAGTTATTTATTATGTGTTCTTCAAAGCTGGTTAATACATGTTTTCTAGTTGTATAACTAATTTATTTTATTGTTCTAAATAGTAAATGAAGGTTGTGTACAGCATGGAATAAACCTTTACTTGTACATTTGCGGCCTACGCATGCTGACGCACCTACCTACTTGAACCACAAGTGATTTTATTATTATTTGGTTTATATTTTATTTTGTGTGTAATTACATAACAGTATGGTGTAGGGTAATAAAATGTTTAGTACTTATAAAATAATTGAAGGGTAATTGTAAGTTTACTTCTCTGTACACTTTAAGTGTATGGTACATTAGGGTGCTTAATTATTCTAATTATGGGTTTCTAAAATGTTTTTATTTGTTAATTAATGTCTTTCCCAATAGAGAAATGGAGGAAATTTCCTTTATTTCTCTACCTCCTGCTCTTGCTCTCTATCCCCAGACACACACCTGTTGACCATTCAAGGACAATAAACCGTGGTGAGCCTGCAGTTCTGCTCTCCTGTCCCTCCTTACTCACAGACACAGTTAGAGCAAAAAATGTGAAATTCTTGTCAGGAAGAGTCTTGAGTCTTGAGTGGTAACAGTGTGTTGAATTGTGGTAACCCCAGCAGTGGGAGTACTGGACTCTGGGGGGAAGTGGTGCTTATGCTCTGTGCTAATGAATAAGCTATTTAGAATACCAGAGTAATCACTTGATGGGACACGCATGATTCCTGCTAAACAATCTTAAAATACTGCTTGTCTGCTACAAATTCAACAATGCAAAATCACGGGCTCTCATAAATAGCAGCATTCTCAGAAATAGCAACATGCTATGATGGTAGCTCTTTCAATCACTTAGGAAATATATTTGCTATTGAAGCAGAACAGCACACTGTAGTAAGATCTTCGGTCGAATTTGGGAGTGTCTTTTGTGAAGCTGTTGTTTTGGGACAAGAAATGAGTAGAATGCTTTAGGACATCACCCTTGGATTCTCAATTTTTCCTTCACGGCTGTTGTACAAAGCAGATTGAAATTAATACTCCAGTTAATAATAATAATAACAACAACAATAATAACAATAATTGCTTACACTTATATAGCGCTTTTCTGGACACTGCACTCAAAGCGCTTTACAGGTAATGGGGACTCCCCTCCCACCACCACTGTGCAGCATCCACCTGGATAATGCGACGGCAGCCATAGTGCACCTGAAGACCCACCACACATCAGCTATCAGTGGGGAGAAGAGCAGAGTAATAAAGCCAATTCATAGATGGGGATTATTAGGAGGCCGTGTTTGGTAAAGGCCAATGGGAAATTTTGGCCAGGAATTTTGGCAAAGTTAAGGTTGACGTCTCAGATTTAATATAAATGCTTTTTAATACTAAAGTTTATTTTTTTAATCAAAGAACCTGTTGGAAGTCTAGGGGTCTAATTCGTTTAAAATACAGTGGTTCTGGGATTGTAATCTCTGAACGGGAATTACTTAAACTGGAAATGTCTCAGATACAGCAAATGTTGTCGGGTGCATTAAAAATAATACACAAAATAAAACCTAGTACATTTTGTGTGAAGGCACAATGACTACAAATTGCACTTTAAAGGGAGGCATTTCATTGTAAAATAAACACCAACAATGTAAAACACTGCAAATAAAAAAGCTTTATATTAGTTGTAAAGGAACAAGTAATAGGTTTATTCCATGCTGAAAAGAGAAAAAGAAAACACAATGTTTTGGCCGTGGAGCCTTCTTCAGGTGTGAGCACCTGAAGGTTAGTTATATTATCTATATTAGTTATATATATCTACATATTAGTTGTGCTTAGTATTTCTATAATTTGTAGTATATATGGCCCATTTGAAGTATATGTATATCAATTCTGGTCCAGTGCAATGACCTCATCTCATTTATGACTTTTATGTTCTTAAAATCTATGCCTTATTATATACTCCATACAATATGTATCCAGTGTTGCAGCAGCTTGTAAGACTCACGGGTTAATTAAGCAAAACCTGCCTTTACAATAGTCTGTCTGTGCCCTAGAATTATGCTGGTATACAGATATTTCTCTAGTTTACTTCTAATTGTTGATTCCATAAGCTTGCATGAAACAGGAGATTGTTTGGTGCCTCTGATCACTGCAGCTGCCTTCTCTCTGTAATTTGAAAGACGAGCACAGATTTGAAAAATATGTGAAATAGTCACACTGTGTAGCTGTTTTTAATCCTTTTATTTATAGGATAGCTGGGTAAAATTGGAGTGTGTGATTCACCATCTGTCTTCCTCAATTTTTGGAAAGTGTAAAGTTAAACTGTGGAATTTCATAAGAGCAATTCCTATTATGCCAATAAATGTGTAATTGTTGTAACAACTACATCAGTACCAAATAAAAAAATAAACTTAATGTAAAACATTAAGTGCTAAAAGCACTTCGGTATTTGATGATGAAAAAATTATAAACATTTGACTTACTCATCTGATTGTAGCTTTATTATTCAAAACCCCTTTTGGATTCTATTTTAGAACTACCCTCAGTCGATTAGGATTTCTGGATTTTTAGTAGACTTTTATAGTGACCACACTTCCCTATGTTCTCATTGCAATAATCTAAGCTATGTATGTTTTATCCAGCGCACATGGAATCTACACATTTCTTCACTCACGTGCCTTATTTATCAACTTACTACACTCCTCCCCCTTAATATTTAAACTACTTGTCACGCCCGACATCCCTCCCTAGAGGGCGCTCCACTGCTCTCATTATTGTTCGTGTGATTTAGCTCTCCAGGTGTACCCTTTTAGTGTTATTATTTAAAGACCTGCTCCTCCAGTCCTCGGGGCTCATCATTAGGGTAAGATGTCGCGAGGCCCGCCTAGCACCAGGAAACCCTACGTCCGTCTCCTGAGGGCATAGGCCTCATCCCAGACACCTCCCGTTTCCTGAGCCCGGGGTCTGGAGGATCTCGCCCTGTCACCCTTGGACCTCCATGTTTTGTTTGTCCGTGTGCTCCCCCCTCCCGGGGATTTTAACTTTGTCACATCCCAGGATGGATTCCTAGTTGATGGACTCTCGGACCGTGCTTTGACCTGCCCTTGGACCCGTTTGGATTTGGATGCCGTTTTGTCTTCCCCGTACACTGTCTCACGGACTGTCACTATTATTTTGTGCACTATTAAACCCCTGTGTGTTCCTTTTTACCACGCCTCCTGTTTTCTCCAGCTCCTACCGCATCGCATAGGGTCTTCTACAAGATCCGACAGATTCCAGTCCGTGTCCGTTACACTACTAGCATGAACCTAACTGTAATTACTGAGTTGGAGAAGACCTTTCAACTCAGAAGTCAGGGGATAATTCTTCCCTCTAAATCATAACTTTTTTTTGTTTTTGTTTGAATAGTACAAAAATCACAGTGAAGGTCAAGTCTCGGAGAAGGCTTCTTCTGATGCATAGGGTATCTTTGACCTGAAGATTCTGCTGGAACAACAGGAATAAAATCACCCAGTTTAGGTTTTGCAGGATTTGGCACAAAGTCATTGAGTGCTCCATCTTCCGTGTTCAGATTGTTGTAACAGACAAATAAGTTCTGGACCCCGGGATGAGCTGAACAACTGAGTTTATTGCATGCAAGAAACAAGAAGATCACAGAATTGTTCAGAGAATTGTTGTAAAGCTTCAGTTTAGATAACAAACTTTAGCCATTTCTGACGCAAATTGTTACCATGGTAATGGGGGGAGGTCACCTGTGTTTGGACATTCCCAAGACCTTGAAGACTGAATGGCTGGTCTTATCTTCCCTTAGTTAGGGAGTCTCTAAGCACTTTGAGAAGCCACCTTTAAAGGTGCTACATAAAATAATTATTTTATTGTTATTATTATTGTCTCGCACTTGGAATCTCTTATCAGTTAACTCCCATCCCTGCCATAACTCAAAAATGCTTAAGCATGGAATGTCTTGTACCACAGAAAGTGTGCAGAAAGAAATCACTTAACCCTTATATCTTTCTTCAAGCGCTTGTAAAGATAAAAGATGATCAACATGAATGTGCATTTTATGATAGGGTTACATCAAATGATAGAGGTCCACTGCACCTGTCCATTTCTACTGGCATCCAGAGACATTTTGGATGTCTGAAATAATGAACCATCACAGTCTCTCCAGGATTAAACATTCTGACTGTCTGGTCAGACACCTTATTCCAAGCCTTATGTTGTGCTTGCAATGGTGTCAGATAAATCAGGTTTTAGCAGTGTTATCCTGCTTCAAGGTTGTTGCTTCAGAAACAATTCAGTAGGTGTTTATTATGTCACTGCAGACTTTTTTGGTAAGCAAGAAAAAAATGTTGGTTTACCTAGCCTGAAATGGGAATGGAATAGAAATCGTGTTCTGTGCTTTTTGAAATGTTTTTCCTGCCCTCTCTGCTGCTCTCTTTGAGTCTGGGTGATAAAGTGGTGTAAGGATAGGATGAATTCCATTTCATTTCAGGAATTGAAACTGAGTACCTTTGTCTGAAGCCAGTTCTCTTAGTAGTCCAAAGGAAACAAAGAGAAATTGAAGACCTTTGCACAGTTTTTGTCAGTGTAGGACTGACAAAGGTCAATTTTCAGAAGAGCATCCACCATAACAAGAATATGTTTCTTTTCCAGCATAATTCACATGAATTCATTCTCAAGGCAGTGATGCCCAAGAGCATAGATGTAAGGGCACTAGAGTCAACTGATTTTGTGAAACTTCACATGTTCCACAGAGTCATACAAGATCCTGAATTTCCTGATACACCTCGGGCCACCAGAGGTATCCACAAGCTAATTGAGATTTCCAGATGACATTTTGGAGGTCAGAAAGTAATCGCTTGCAGAATGTTGTTGGTACAATGGTGTACAATCCATACAGAATACAGCCCTGACCAGCAGATATGTGATCTCTCAGGTAAGTAGGCAGCACCTGTTTAAAGTTTAAAACTTGTCAAATAACCTGTCCTGATCCTATCTTGTTCCTTCAGTAATATCTTTAGAAAAAACAAGGGGTTCATCCATGTGTGAAAGTTGGAAGACTGCTCTCTCATCCTTAGCTTCAGTGTAACATTTACAGGGCATTGGAGACAGTGCATCAGCATTCCTATGCATGTTAGAATGTCTAAAGCCAATGATATAATCATACACTAACAGTATTGAAGCCCAACACTGCATTCTTAGAGCAGCTAAGGATGGTGACTTTGATATAGGGCGGAGCGGTGGCTCTGTGGTTAAGGATCTGCGCCTGTGACCGGAAGGTTGCCGGTTCAAATCCCGTGGCCGGCAGAGGAATCCTACTCCGTTGGGCCCCTGAGCAAGGCCCTTAACCCCAACTGCTCCAGGGGCGCCGTACAATGGCAGACCCTGCGCTCTGACCCCAAGCTTCTCTCCCTGTCTCTGTGTCTGTGTCTCCATAGAGAAAAGCTGGGGTATGCGAAAAGACGCATTCCTAATGCAAGAAATTGTGTAGGGCTAATAAAGAAACATTATAATTATACTGTATACTGCATGTCCATGTAAGTATTTTCCTAACTCTTAAGATGATGCTCAGTGCTTTCTTTCTCAATCTCTGCATTATTCCGTTCACTGAATGTCAAAGTTCTGGATGCAAAAGAAATGGGCTGCTTCTCGCCTGAAGGTAAAATGTGTTATATGACTGCACCCACCCCACAGAGCGATACATAATATGCAAGTTTCAAAGGCTTGTCTGGGTCATAATGTGTGAGACACTTATTATTTTGGAGTCATTGCTTGAATTGCTTAAATTCTTCTTTACATTGTGTAGATCAGGGAGACCTGATCAGGCCATGTAGAACCTGATCCATTTCATACTTAAAAATCACTGGTACTGTAGAAACGCCATAGTGTAGGGAAAGGCATCTCTACAACCGTCTCTGTGTATTTTTTGGTCAGACTTCTGAGCTGAATACAAATACAAATTGGATATAAAACTTCCCACAAGACAGGATGCAAACAAATCCTGCACTCAGAAGTGAATATGTTTCAGGTTTTATACAGTGATTCACTGTGACCTTATAGTCATCACAGAGTCTCACTGTGTTATGAAGTTTTGGAATTATGACAATAAGTGCTTCCCAGTCACTCCTGTCTGTATGTGAGATAATGTTATGTTTCTCCAGATGGTCTAAGTTCTTTTCCAGAGCTTCCTTCAGGGCATAAGGAACTGGATGAGGCTTACTGAATATTTGAGGTATTAATGACTCAGTATGTTGAGCATTTCTTGCAGTGCAGTTTGTGGTATAATATCTTTCCAGTTTATTTCTATCTTATCTAGCCAGTTCCTCTCTAGTAATGCAGGTTTCTCTCTTCGCACCACATAGAGGTAGGTCCTCCCTGCACTTTCATACTGTACAGGCACCTGAATCTCTCCTGTCACAGGAACAGTGTTCCATACATAGGACCAGAGTTTCTGGTTGAAGAGGGTACACTGATTTTCCTTATAAATGTGCTCTGGCAATAATGATACAGATTCCCTAATATTAAGTTGCATGGTCACCGTTTTACCCACCAGCTGTATCTGAAGGTAAATTCTCTAAAACCTCTACCTTGTGTTGTATAGACCTAGAAAACCTCTAAATTTCTTCTGTGGTATCCATGAGATATTGCACTTCATCTTTGTGTAATGCATTTTTGCACATTCTTTTAAAATGTCATATGGTTATAGCATTTTTCATGCCAAAATCTACATGTCTTTTGGTGATATCTTCACCACATAGCAAGGTGGCTTCAAATTGATTGCAGGGTTGCTGTGCTCTCTGAGTCTGGTGTGCTGGCTGTTGACAAGCGTGAGATCGAGCTGTCTGGTTTCTGCCAATCAGTTTTGCTTTCTGGCTGGATGCCACTCTATGTACCTCCATTTTAGAATGGTGAAAATGTCCAGCTACCTCCCAGACATGTTTCTGAATGAGCCCTAATGCAAGTATAATATCCCATGCAGATTTAAATGTCAAATCTTTCTTTGACAATAGCCATTTTTGATTACTTTCTATTAAGAGTGTGCAGTCAAATTGGTCAGGCAGTGAATCATCCAAGAACTGGCTAAACTCACATGGATTTGCCAAGCTCTTTAGAACAGTGATATGGTCTGCCAGGGCTTCCCCCCTTCCTGATGTCTACAATGAATCCTAAACCTTCCTACTATAAGACTTGGTTTGGGTCTGAAATGTCTTGAAAGCATGTCAGTGAGCTCTGTGTGAACTGCATCTACTAATGCTCATGGCACAATGAGATTTTTTGAAGTCTGTATCTTTAAAATTACAGTTAGAAAAAGTTAGCCTTCTTATCATCTGCAATCTAATTCACAACAATGCACTGTTCAAAACATTCAAAATACGTTCGCAGTGCGGTTCTGTGGCTCTGTGGCTAAGGATCGGTGCCTGTGGCTGGAAGGTTACTGGTTTATATCCTGCGTCTGGCAGAGGAATCCTAATCTGTTGGGCCCCTGAGCAACGCCCTTAACCCCAATTGCTCCAGGAGTGCTGTATAAATGGCTGACTCTGTGCTCTGACCCCAAGCTTCTCTCCCTGTCTGTGTGTCTCATGGGGTATGGGGTATGTTGGGGTATTTGAAAAGACAAATTCCTTATACAAGAAATTGTATATGACCACTAGAGTGATTTTATCTTATCTTAAGATTCAAATTCTGGTACATGGCCAGCTCTCACTGTAGCAGAAACAGAAGCTGTAGCTTGAGTAAGAAGAAGAATGGTCCACGTGTACAATCATTGCCCTTGTAATAATCTAAGGTGGGGATATATTTTATCAAGAACCCATCACGGCAATATGCACACCTTTTCCCTTCCTGTTTGTATCATCTTACAGATTGCTAAAATGTGTCCTTAGGTGTAATGGGTTTGACACTCTTCTGGGTTGTGAATACTGGCCTGATGGCTATGTCACAAGGCTTAAAAGATTGACAATGCAGAGGATGCACAGGACAATTTTAAATTGCTAAGAGAAAGGCCATTTTCTGGAGAACATGAAAGAAGACATATACACAAGGTACAAAGCTCTGAATCTAAATGGTTTTTCAGAAAGTTTCATAAGGTCTAGTCACACTCTTAATACCATGAATGGGTGTTCAAATGTGATCATTGCATTGCACACAAAATATTTCTACACATGGCACAGTAGTTATTTCTGATAATGTTATCTTTGCCTTCAGGTATTCCTGAAATGTAACTTACAGTATTCAGGCCACAGCAGGTCAGGTTCTACATCCATCTCAATAATGTGGCCACTAGTCTTGTTCTCATTTCTAAGCCATTATTTAATCAACTGCTTAACCTTTACAACAGTGTCTTCTTGTTTTTGTTACATCCAAACACTTAATCACAGTCTAATTGATTTCAATATTAAATTATAAAGCACATGTTTAAACTTGCCTTCAGTGAAAATGAGTTTTGTAGTTCTATAACAAATGATTTATTAGTATATAACACTTTGGACATAAACAGAGGCTAAAAATATTAAATGTGGAAGTACCTGATACATTGTCATTTCCATCTCTATCTGTTCATACGAATGTGTCATTTATTAATTACTTTTTATCCTTTGATAAAAGAGCAAACTTAATAACAATGTTGAAAATGTTTGGATTAACATATATATGCTGAAGTTATTGGACCAAACGTTTTGGAGTCAAGAACTAAGTGTATAAACAAACAAGGTGATAAATAAAAGGCAATTACTATTCCAGTGGATACCAGCTTGGCTGAAACAAAAATCAACACAATGACCTTGGAGTTATGAACCTATACAGTATATTATAACAAGAGTACCTGGTCCTAGAGGTACAGTGTGTCTGCAGATTTTTTAGGTCTATTTAAAGATGCAGCACCTCAGAAACTATTAAATGGGTCTGATTAAGATCCATTTAACTCTTTAAAAAGAATGATTGGAATGAAATCCTGCATATGCATGAGCCCCCTGTGATTGGAAATGAACCTTTTTTGTAGCTTTAATATGTCTCAGCTGCTTCAGTAATGCTCCCAGGGCCTGCTCTTTCCCTGACTCCTTTCTGAAATACTCATTATATTAACTGCCAAACTCTCAATTTGCGAGCAACAATTATGTGCTCTTTCTGACAAGAGCTGCACCTCTTGTTACTGATGGATAAAAGCAGCACAGAACTCACATGCACATTAAATAAAATATAGCTGCAGCCTATTTCCAAATATCTCGTGGTTGTGAAGTAAAAAGGCACCAGTGAGGACTTTAAGAGGAATTGAAAAAGTGGTAGGGGCTTTTGACAAAAATCTGTCATAAAGGTTTTCTGGTTTCTTTTCTTAGTTGCTTGCGAGCTGTGATCCAGAAACCCATAATTATTTGTGTAAAGAACACAAGAACACAAGAAAGATTACAAATGAGAGGAAGCATTTCATCTTGGTAACTGATCCATGTAAGACATTTCCTGAAAGAAGCCAGGCTTCAACAATATGACGGGATAACTTGTTCCATATTTCCACAATCCTTTACATAAAGGAGTGGCTCGTGTCCTCAGTTTTTAATTTAAAAAATAATTATAAAGATGAAATTTCAAACTATAAGAAGAATTCCCCGTGTATTATAAGCAATTATTTGAAATGATTGCAGAAGACCTATACATTTTCTGGATGATCAGGGAACTTTAGCTAACTTAATTTAAAAACACTGAAATTGAATTGTCTGCTTGGGTGCTTGTTTAGTGGTTTCATATCAGGAGGGAAGAGGTGAAACATCTTCATACTTATTTGAGCCGCAAGCTTCAAGTAAAGAATTATTGCTATAGTAAAGCTTAAAAAATACATTCTTTTTAAACTTAGAAAAATAAATGAGTCTAAGTGGGCAGAGAATGATAAACCCCATGAAAAATAAAATATCCCAACTTTTGAAAATATTATCTTAAAATATTACT